TGAAGAATTGATAAACCTGACATTGCCTTTCTTTACAAAAGCTATCATGTATCTGATGTTTTTGCAATTTTGCTATTTTGGTGGAAAACCATGGAAAAACAATTTGCTCTGTGTGGACCCGGGAGCATTGCGTTGCTGGATGACTCAATGAGAAGGGTCAAACATGAGTCAAAGTGCAAATCTATGAGAACACCCACGTGTCATCACAAATCATGCCATTCCATGGCAGTTTGGTTCACTCCACGTCGCCTCGTCGAGTCTAAACCGGCACAAACCCGGCAAAGAGCCTGGCGCGCGAAAGGACCAAAACAGCCCCAGGACAAAACCAGCATTATGCGTGGAACATTAGGATTTGCTTCGGGCGTGAGCCAAATGTCGTTCGGGAGCGGTCGGGGGTCTTCGTTGATCAAGCTGGTGGCAAAGTAAAAAATGGCATGGACGTGGCATGCCTAAATCTAAGTACTGCTGACAGGATCTTGCTGAAAAATTATTTGTCGAACTGCTTTGAAGCGCCCTTTCTTCCTTGATGCCTGCGCAAGTCAATCGAGCTGCACAAGCTCCTTCGATGATGGAGCCCGGAACCCAGAGCCCGGAGCGACCAACCGCAAGGAGGACCCGGCGCGGCGGACGCTCAGCAGATCGAAGGCGATGCCCGAAGCGAGGTTCGAAATCCGGATTGCCTTTCTCCAACCACGGCCTTTCAAGCTGCCATCTTCCTTTTTTGCAAATTCCCACTCTATAGTGTCTTCCCAACTGCCCACTTGAAACCTCCACTTCACCAGGACGGGCTCGCTCACGTAAAGATACAGCGAGGCCTTGTTTGGCGAAGCCTTGGGAACCAAACAGAGCCACGCCGCGACGCCGGACGCCCCGAGCTGGAACTTTTCGCTGAGCTGCCGCTGACCTTCGGTGAAGTTGGTGAAGTCGTAGCCTGACAAATCCCATGTCAAGTGCCACACAGAAGGTTTGATAGCTTGCTGAGCCTTCTCAAGCTCTTGGCATCTTTTGCTGAGTTGCTTGCACTCTGCCTCTTGAGCCCTCTGAAGCTCTTTTGTTGTTTGTTGAGCCTTCTCAAGTTCGTTGCACTTGCCTCGGATACTTCCAAGAAGGTTGCACAGCATCAAGGATGCATCGTCGTTTGTGCGATCTAGATAGTGCGCATATGTGACGGCCCCATAAAATTTGTCTTCCTTCTCATCTGCAGAGAAGGCTTCTGCAGCGGCAACAGCTACCCGAGCTCCATCTGCTCGTCGGTTGGCCTTTTCGAGCATCTTTGCAAGAAGCATGAGCTGCGAGCCACGCAAATTCTTGAGACTTTCTTGCTCAAGGGATAGTTTGGATAGCACCTCTGCAGGAATGTCCTCGTTCTCTAGTTGTACGTTCAGAAGCAACCCTTCTAAATGCTTGCTGTCGCTTGTCGTGCGTTGGCGCAACATACATCGACAAATCTGCTTCGACAGGGCACGACACACACGTGCATCAGAGTCATCAATGCCATGCGCTTCAACAAGCAAGTCCAGCTTCGCCTCATCTTTGTCGTCGTCCATGCGCGAGGCCAGTTCGACAAGAATGGATGCCGAATTGCTGGGTGGCCACTTCTCCAAGGTGGAAATGCCAAGGTCGGAACCGAAAAAGTCCCTCGCGAAGGAAGTGGCGCTCTCTTTGCTTTGCAGGAAAGTGCAGGCATGGTGGAGCAATTTCGTGTCAAGCTGTTCCAGTCTCGCTGTCAGTCTACCATGGAAACCTGCCAGCATTAAAGATGCTGCTTGCACCCAGTCTTGGTCACCATGGTTATCCTTTTGTTGGAGAAGGAAGTCCCAAAGGAAACCCAAGCGCTCAGCTTGTGCGTCTGCGATCGCCGAATCTGTGATTCTGCGAGTAAGCTCCTTGCAGACCAAGATCCTGTGGGGGCCTGGCACACTCAAGGATTTGATCATATCCTCATCTACTTGGCGAAGGAACCACAGAACCTCTTGCCCGTCCATGTCTGCCAACAACTCCTGAAGTTGTGACATGTCTCTAACCTCTAGAAGCATAGGCACGAGTTCTTCAATGACTGCACGACGATTTCCTGGCGGCATCCGCTTTCCCCGAAAGAGCAGCAACGAAGACAGCTTCTTCTTGGCAGATGCATCGGGCAAGGACGCACGGACAAACTGCTCACCTCTCGAAAGCAATTTCAGCGCATCGTCAGTCGGTACTTGAGAGGCCACGGACAAAATCTCCTGAACTGTTTTCTCCTTGTATGCGATAACCGCGGACTTCATGTGCTGACTGGGGTTGAGCACCTCAGTTCCACGCACATGCGTCGTTGCACGACCTGCTTTTAATTTATACCCTGTGTTAGCCATCAGTCAACAGAGCGCAGGCCCAACTAGGGAGTAGGGATGGAGTTCAAAGCTTGGTCATATTCGGTTCCGACAAATCAAAATGGACAAAATATGTGCTTCAACGTTTTCGCCATGGCTCATGAGTCCACAAAGTCTCACGAGTGGTTGGGCTGCCCGAGTTCGACTGAAACCACTCTGCGATGCAACGCCTTTCGTAAGTGATTCCATCTGCCGCGACCACAGGATCTTCCATCAACTCCTGGGATATGGGACAGCAAAGCTCAGGAGGGTCCTCCACAAGTCGCTTCACCTTGGGTGAGGTGTGCGACACTGGTTCTTTTACCTCTGATCGAAGATCACGCGAAGGTCAGCGCAGATTTGTCAACTACAATCTGTCTGCTTGAATGCGCAGCGAAACACTTCTAAAATGCTGCGAGCAAGTTGCCCAGGCAGTCCAGCCATGCCCCACTTCAGTGCTGCTTTGGCTGTCCTGTCTGCAAGCATCCGAAAGAGAGTGCGAGAGAGCCTAGTGCTTCGCCCCAATGTAACCACCAAAGGTACACACAATTCCTGGATCAAATCCAGGATCCTCCTCAACCTCTGGCCTTTCAGAAAGTGCAATTCCACTACCACTGAACTCAAAACAGACGACTCTAGCGTATACACGCGGGCCTTAGTGGAGTATTGAGAACTTCTATCCGACCCAAGTGGAAAATTGCCGGGTCATAGTTGGTGTCCTTTCCAGATCGCATCAGCTCGAGCGTCTTTACGATTTCCACAGCTTCCACGTTCCACACGTCTGCAATGGCGTCCACCGACATTCCCTTCTGGCCTCAGCGGCACGGGCAGAGCAAGCAAAGGTCAATAGGATTTGGGGTGAAGAAGAATGAAACATGACGTAGGTGTGGAGGGTGTGGAGTGTCCACAGCGTTGGATGGAATGGAGCCGTTTTAAACAAACTTAAAAAGTAGTAGTACTAGGGCAAAGATGTGTAATCTCCGGGAAGGGACACTTGAAAAAGACAAACCTTCATAGCTGCCCTCCTCCAATCTGAGACAACCCCACAACATCCACACACTTTCTGATAGCCAAAGTGAGGAGCATGAAACATAACCTAACGGTAGATATCTGTAGGTCAAAGTTCCCGATATCAAGAGTGGAACCTCCAAGCGTCGTCATCGTCATCGCCGCTTGCTGCACACCGGCGGACGCCTCAACCAGCTCCCAGCCGAGTTGCTCATGCGGAGGATCATGTTTTGGGAATCCGCTCGGCTGATCCCCTGGCGCCAGCAGCGATGGGTGAGGAGTCTGGGGAGGCGTGGCCTCGGTCATGTGACCCATCTGGCCAACAGTTTGCTCCCCACACTGCAAGTATTGCATGGTCATGAGTCATGGTGGAAAAAAATCGGCTAAGTAATAGCTCGACTATTGCAAAGTAGGCGAACCATGGTAAATCAACCCAAATCACAAGTCTATTCGTTCGGCCAATCCCTATACACAAACGCCCAGCGCGTCGTGAGACCTTCTCCGGTGACGCTGATGACTCGCTACGAGTAGCTGGCTCCTGGCATCGGTCTCAAGGTGCTGAATAGACTACAGTCAGCTCCTAAACACGCTTTTTTCCCCACATAGAAAAATCGAAAGTGAACCTTCAAAAGGATAGGGCTTTTGACTTGTGCTCCACCTTTCTCTCCGAGGACTTGTGGCTCCACCGCTCTCGCAGTTTGAGGGGAAGATACGGGAAGTCTGGCCCTCCGAGGCTCGAATTGCTCGGCGGAATACGTCTCTGGAGTCGGGAGCATTCTGGTAGGACCCTGTATCGAATCGAGCAAACAGGACGTCATGTGGCCTTATGTGGCATCTGGTATACTCCTGTCTTGTTTCCAGGAAAAAGACAACTTCCTGTCCCCAATAGATGAGCCTCCTCCTCCTCCTCCTCGGCGGTCCTCCATTCTTCGCATCTTGGCTGGCCGGTCCAGTGGCATCGGGTCCACGAGATCTTCCACGCTGGGCGTCTCCTGAAACGACCACGTACGGGTCCAACGGTTTTTTGTTGTGAAGACACAAAAAAAAACTTCTTCACCCCGAGTGTGGTAAGGCTTTCCCAAGAGTCTATTGGAATGTGGAGCATTCCGATAAAAGGGTCGATGATATGTCTGACTTGGAAATTTGCCCCGATTGCAAGCCGCAGCCGTCCTCGGCCTGTGGCACATGCGTTGGAGCCTGCAACAGCGGCACATCCAAGGGATCACAAAAAGATATAAGCACCCGACACCTGACCTGACCACCAACCCCAAAATCTCATTCCTTCATCGGCCAAAGGAGGACAACCAAGCATCCCTGCATCGGAGCTTAGTCTTAATTTCAAAGACGAACTTTGACGCCCCAGGCCTCCTCCATCTTTCATCAAAGCTCTGGAAGGTTGAGGAGATCTCCACCGCACTTCGAAGGAGCTCCAAAATGGCTTCGAAAGGAAGCAGTAAATCAAGGAGCAACAAAGCACGACAAACCATTCTGATCCAGTCTGATATGCTCGAAAACAACCACCTAGTGAGTTCTCGACAAACTTGATGTTTCTCCCTTTCTTCTTGACGTCAATCCCCGCGCTTTCTCTGAAGCGCTTAAATATGTGGAAATACCTACTTACGCAAATGCGACAGCTGGCGCATTAACAGAAACATGGATTCAGTTTTCTCATGACAATCACTACCTTGAAGGGAAGTTGCGGAAGGCTTGCCGCAACTTGACGCTGTTCAGCTATCTCATGAACTTTCCGTCACATGGCAATGTTGCCACGCTTCTTCTTCTTCTATTATTGAATTGTTTCTTCTTCCATTTCTTCTAGCTCTTCTTCTAGTTCTTCTTATCATTATTGTTATTACTATTGCTATTCTTGCCGGGTCAGTGCGATATGTTACCAGAACTGGGGAGGGCAACAATGCAATTCCTTGAAATACAAACTGTACCTGAACCACTTTCGTTTCTCATGACAACGTGGACTGCAAGTAGTCCGCTTGCTTGAGTCACAACTTCAACTGGATGGTTTAGCCTCTATAGTCCTTGAATGGTTTTGAGATGGCATGAATGTCACTTGACACTTGACACTTGACGTCAAAAGGGTCTTACGAACAACCTTTTGAGTTCGTAGTTCATTCATGCATATGTGTCCATCGAATCATGTTTTGCACCATCAACAAGGTCCACTCTTCTCCAACCGCCCCTTGCGAAACGGAGCGAGGCATCACCTGCCTTCTAGAGGCTCATGAGGAAAAGCGTGT